TAAGAGTATTTAAGTAGATAATTTAAATTAATATTTATAGTAATAAAGGAAATACCTATAGATAGCCTAATAAAAAACCTTTTTAAGTAGCTATTTATATTATAAAAAGCTTATATAAGTATAATAAAGGTAAAGAGAATAATTATAAGTAAATAAGATTAATATATAAAGAAGTAATAACTAAATTTCTATTTTATTTATTTAAGTAATACTTTAAAAAAAGTATTTTAGCTTATAAAAAACACTTATTTTAGTAAAACCTAATCTAATACCTTACTAAATATAATAAGCGTTTACTTATATAGTAATACTATACCTCTTAAACTCTTCTTAGCCTTAAAGCTAATAAAAATATCTTTATATCTATTAGTATAATCCTCTAATAATTTAAAAATAAAGTATAAGGCCTTATAATACTTACCTTAGTATTATAAATAATTAGTAGTTATTCCTTATTAAGATTATATACTTAAGACTTATACTTTTATAAGACTTTATCTTAATTAAGGCTTAGAGGGCCTAGGTAAAAGATATAGTTTATAGGTCTTTAATAAAATAATTAGTATTTAAATAATTACTTAAGTATAATAATATATAAAGAATAATATATATATTTACTAAAATAATACTAATAGTACTATAAAACACTACTAGTAATATCTTAGTAGATACTAGCCTACTTTATTAGGTTCTTACTAGCTAGGTAAAAGTATATATACCTATTATAAAGAATAAGGTATAGCTTACTTAGCTAAGGTATACCCTTTAGGGTAGTAGTGGTAGTAGTAGTAGTAATAAAAATAACTAAGGCCTTTAAGGCTATAACTATATATAAGGTAATATAAGATAATATAAAATTATTATTATTATTATTATTATTAGAGGGAGGGGGGGGGTAGGGGTAGACTTAGGCTTAGGCTTATCTTTATTATTATCTTTATTATTATCCTTATCTTTATCCTTATCCTCCTCTACTACTACCTTTTTCTTAGTAATAGTAGTATATAAGGACTATCTTATATAATATTTTTACTAAAGTAAATAATTAGTTAAGTGTTTTACTAATATAATAAAAGAATATATAGTCCTCTTAGAGGTAGTAAAGGTAAGGTAGTAGTAGGTAGTAAAGGTAAGGTAGTAGTAGGTAGTAAAGGTAAGGGTTTTAATACCTTTATTAGTAATTTTTTTAGTAATTATAATAATATATATTATATTTATAATATAATAATAATTAAAGAAAAAAAATAAATTTATATAAGTAAAACTTAAATTCTTATAACTAAATATAATATTTACTTACTTTTTACTTAATACTTATATACTTACTTAAAAAGAAGATAGCTAAGATATTATTAATAGTTTTATATATATATAATTAATTATCTAAAGTATAAATTTAAAGCTTAATTATATAGTTAATTCCTTTTAAAGTTATAAAAGTTATTTTTAATATAACTTTTTTTATTAATTAATAGCCTTAGCTAAGGGGTATATTAAAGCTATAACTATAGTAGGTTATATAGGCTATAGTAACTAGTAAG